GCTAAAATTGGTTCAAATAAAGTGACAGAAACGTAAGAAATAAACTCATTAATCACTGACGCACAAGGTTCACAAATACAAAATTGCATTTTTGTTTGGGTTTTGTTTTTTATCAACAGTTAGAAATACAAGATGTTAACGTTTACCGCATTAAAAAAAATTGGAAATAGCAAATATTTTTACATTTCCAGAATCGTTTTCAAGGAAGCGAATAAATTTTAAAATTGGTGTTTAATCAATTTCTTGCTGATTGAGGAATTGATTGGTAAGAATAGAGTAGCTGTTTCTGGGAAAATAATTGGAAACTGAATGAAGGGTGGGGGTCCAAAGGGGCCGCAACAACCGATCTCTGCTCTGGGGACCAACCAGGAAGTTAACCAGCCATGTAACCATACGTCACAAAGCGCATAATTTTAACTCAGTAATGATGTTGTCATGATTTCTTAAAACTTTACTTATTTATATTTACTCTGCACGACTCACTTCTGCAGCAGCCGTCACCGCAGCCGGAGGAGCCTCTCTGTCCGCGGGTCACTACACCACCAGCCGCCCGGACCGAGACAGCCGAGCAGGGAGCTCCAGGAGCGAGCTGAGCCTTGTGATGTCCGCTATCTCTCCACAGGTGCTGGTTATCGGGATCACAGCACCTCTATGGAGTCACTCTCCCGCCGTGAGGCCGCCTCAACATCTTCACCGCTGAACGGACAGTTTGGTATTAAAAAACAGCCTGGGGGAGGGGGTGCAAGGGGGTGCAGGGGCTGGGAGGGGTGAGGTGAGTTCAGCGACAGGAGCGACGACGACCTGAACATGGATGTATCATGCAGACCATCAGACACTCATCGGACAATTTTCTCCTGTAAACAGCAGCTCGGTCACGTGGTCACGTGCCCTCTGTCAGCTGACCTGAAGCATGACCAATAGAAAAACGTAGAGAAACACTAGAAACAAGTCAACTCAATCGAATACGATGTTTGGTTTTCTGATCACCAACTCCAAAAAGGTAAATCACATAAAATTGAAATTCATGAGAAATTTAATTGAGTTAAATAGGAATTTTAGTGTAATTGTCTTCAGATATTTTATATTCATGTTATTCTTTCTAATCTTATGTTTTTATAGTTTTAATAAGTCTTTCTATTTTTTGTATTTTTTGGTTTAATGTGAATTATCTGACTCTGTGCTGTGTCCCTAATAAGCTGTTACAGCATTAAAATAAAATAATACAAACCTCATTTGTGAAGTTCATGTATATATTACTGATTTAATTTATTTTGTAACTGTATTCTTACATTTATTTACTTGTATTGTTTTGCAATGATGCTGCAAATTTATGGGGTAAATGC